CTTATCAACCATAAAACTAGAGAAGTATTGGACTGGCAAATGCTTCAACTTTTACAGAAAACAAGTAAGGGATCTATTCTAAAATAGTACTTGTCAATAATAAGGGAGATGCAAGAAAAAAAGCTAGAATAGCTCACAAGAACTTGGAAAGAAGATTGGTTAAAGTGGAGTTCACAATATCCAGTACTTAATCTTGATCTTGATGAAAGGCAAAAACTTTGGATAATTATCAAGAGCAACAATCAGTAGCAATAACTTGTTTAGAGAAAATTGATTCTAGGAAACAATAAAAGATACATTAAAATAGATTATTTCAAATGTGATAGCTCCAAGAAAAACTTAGGATCAAACCTAATGTGATATCAGAGCTATCTAGAAGGGATCAAGACTGAAAACTGATGCATAGTGGAATCAAACATAGAACAAACATACTATATATGGTTCTTTATCTTAATACTAAAAAATCTACAAGGAGAGCTCAACTTTTAGAAATCCTTTGTTCCAAGTTAGCACTATAGTGATCAATAAGTAGAACAATTCACATAGACTCAATGACTATACAGTATGATAGAAGGCAACTGGAAGAAGTAGAGATAGAGAACTAGGAGAAAAAGCTTATTAAAGAGAATATTAAAGAAGATCATATCAAACCTATTTGATTGAAATACTCAAGTATAACAAGGGGAATAATAGCAATAATATAATGATCTTTTACTCTGATGAATCCCTTGTTAATTATGGAAACAAAAATATGAAGATAGATGCAGTATAGATACAAATTGGAGAAGCAGGAAAAGAAAGAAAGTTCTAAGCAGGAGTAGCTGATTGGCCTTTAACTATAAGAGCAGAATTAGTAGTGATAGTCACTATACTACTAGTAGTACTAGTTAACAGCAAAGTCAAGATTCACACTGATAGTCAAGCCTGAATCTCTAAATGAAAAACTATAGAAAAGGAGGATTCCCAAAAAACCCACAAAAGATGGCTAAAGGAACAAAATTGATCCTTATAGGTACAATCATTGAGCCTATATAAAAAAAGAATTAGATCTAAATCTTATCAAGGTTAAAGTACACTTCAATATTCAATACAATGAGGAAGTAGAAATTCAAGCCAAAGAAGCAATAAAATTTCTAACAATAGAATGGCAAGATCTGGACTTACCTAAGATTATTATCAAAATCAAATAGTAAGATATAGTGCTAAATGCTTCAATAAGGCAGTTTGTTAAAAAAACTAATGCCAAAATAATAATGCATCAATGGACAACTCAAAATAGAATAGACAAAAAGTGGGGTTATCAAATTCAAGATCAGCATAGGCACACATAAAACCTAGTTTGGAAACAAATGAATAATGGACACATATGGAATATCATCTTCAAAAGATCACAAAGAAAAAGCTTTCTTGTTAAAATGACCAACAATGAGTTATTTACATTAATAAAGCTAGTCATAAAAAGATCTGACTTATACAAGTAAGTAAAATGTCTCACATGTGGATAGTAAGAAGAGATAATAGAACACTTGCTAAAATGTCCAGCATATAAAACTCAGTGGCAAGAAACCTAGCAAAAAGGTATGAAAGATATAATGCAAGGTTTTAACAAACTCCTGGTAGATAGGAAAAAGGGAAAATTATAAAAGAATAGGTTGAAAAAAAAGAAAAGAGGAATATCAAAAAATGTCTAAATAGACAACAAGAAAATGAAAAGATAAAAATTAAAAAAAAATTTCCAGCTTCCTTCAAAGACTTGCTTCTTAAGACCTCTTTTTAATAAGAAATATCAATTGAAATATTCTTTCTTTTCCTGACTGTTTGAGGAACTTATTTATTCTTGATCTTGATTTCCTTCTTGTATACCATCTAAAAAGACTTATTGCCTAGTAAAAGCCTTTACTTCCAGGACACACTTGATCCCAATCTTTTTTAGGCAGGGATTTTTTATTCACATACGATAGAAAGGTAATATATAATAGACTCTAGGTTTTTATATGACCTAATAAGAACTGGGTCATGTTGTTTCAGTATGATACCTTCCAGCAGCCATATCTAGTTAAAGAAATTTTATTGATATATACCTTCTATTATCCAAAAGATCAGATTTCCCAATAATTTTTTTGCCTTGTAATGGTGAAAGGGTTTTAGTAATAAGGATTCTCTTCGATTATAATATCCTTCAACTACTTCTGAGGAAATATATTTTCAATTGTAACCAAAGAGTTAGAGCTTAGTATAGATTAGAGACTATTTGGTCTTATTGCCTGACTAGGATAAAAAGGAGATCTTGATCTTGAACTTTGCCTAATTAGAATAATAGGAGAAAGAAATCTTAGTTTAAATAGATAATAGCTTTTTCATCACTTGGGAACTTATTGCTTATATCTTATTGACCTCATGGAACTTGATTTATAGATTAATCTAATTGAAGAAGTGGAATAGACACAAGACACTAATCAATTCTTTCAATCATCAATAATGTTATCAAAACATATGAGATGACTAGTAAGGACTTATTTACATTCAATTACTAAAGTGTTTTATGTTCACCAATTATATTTTGTAATAGATTGTATTACCTAAAATTCAGGATTAGACAAAATTCCCTAGAAAACCAAAAAAATTTTGGGCAACTATAAGAGAGAAAAGATAGTGAGCAGACATTTTGAAAATATAATTTGATATTTACTGTCTTTCACTATACAAAACCTCTATAGACATGCTTAAATATGAAAGATTTTGAGTACTACACTATTAGTTCTTCTTCCTTGCAGAACTTTCTTATCATAGGTAGAAAAAGTGTTTCTTGACTTTTCTAGATCACAGGAAATCAAGTTTTTGTTTGAAGATAAATATAAACAAAAAAGGAATTTAGGAGTATCTCTTAAAGTAAAACTTCAAGTTGGTTTAAGGATAGTATTAAGACTTTATTTACAAAGAAATAAAAAATTTCTTGTGAACATCTTTTTTGTGTATAAGTAGAGAATCAGCAGAAAGAGTTTATTTATATTTTTATCAAAAATTGTTTTAATATTTATCTTGTATATATTATTAAAAATTATATATTTATTGAAATTTAATAATAACTTATTTTTATTAGAATTATATAAGTTTTTTCTTATAATTGAAAAAAATTATCTAAAAAAAATTTTTTTAAAAAAAAAACTAGTAATCAATAAAAAATATATATATAATTTTTTTTTTAATTCACAATCATATTAATCAAACATACAATGGTGACAACCTGCTGGCAATAATACAGTAGACTAAAAGGGTTTTCACCCAAAGATACTGCAGAGTAAAATATTGTTCCCAAGATCAAATTTAGAGATTTTTATGATAAGTTAGTTGGATTAGAATAAAAGTTTAATTGTAGTATATATTATGCTACTTGAATGAAAATATACTTATATTTTCAATTGATTAATAAACTAACAATCTAGCCTGGCTAGGGATACTCAAAATAATAATAATAATAATAATTGTATTGTCCAAAAATTTAGGATCAAACTAAAATAGATAAAATTTCTTAGAAAATTATAAAGGTAAAAAATTCTAAAATAATTAAAATAATTAAAAAAAAAGAAAATAAAATTTTTTATTATAATAAATTTTATATAATATGCTTTAATAATTGAAAGACTTTCAAATATTTCACAATTGATTTTTTTCTCTTTATTTGAGAACTTCTTTGCTATTGATATTAAAAATACTATTTAACTTGTTCTTAATTATTAAAAGTCAAATTATTAAATAAAGAAAATTATAAATAAGTAAAAAAGAATAAAAATAACTTTTGAAATTATTCTTTAACAAAACTTCTTGTGAACATCTTTTTTATATATAATTAGAGAATTAGTAAAAAGAGTTTTTTTTTTTTAACTAGTAATATACAAAATACACCATGCAGTTATTATTCCAGCGGAATTATAAAAATTCGACTCAAAGTCACCTACGAACTTATAATTTCGACCAAAATTATAAAAATTTGGCCCGAAGTACGTATTATTTAAGCCCTATGTGGTTTTGTCTTATCACATGATTACACGTAATTTGTTTGTACGAAGTAATAATGTTAGGTCCATCCTGATTCGCCGGAATTATACATAATGCCGGCTAACTTGTAAAATAATTATGGCCGCTAAAACCGGGATCATCATTAAAATGATTATCTAGGTTTGAATCCACCAGTACTCAGTGTAATCACTAAAAATGAATGGAATATACAATTCACTTTCTGACTACCTATTACAAAAAGAAAAAACGTCAGTAATAATAATTTCTTTCATGCCTTTTAATCTTGGAATTACACTAAATGCTAATTTCTCTAGTCTCCCACCAGAGAACCGATGTCTCATTGCAATCGCGGGAATATCTGGCTCGGGTAAGAGTTAATTAAAGCATATCTTCTTAATTAAAGCTACTAAGAATCCTTTTCAGTTTGCAGGGAAATCAACTTTATCTGATAAGGTTGTTAGCCATATAAATCATTCGAGCGGAACACAAAGAGCTATCGTCGTGCCTATGGACGGATTCCATTATTCCAAAAAGGAATTGCGCGCTTTCCCAGTATGTTAATCAATAAATAATACTTGTGAGCCCATTTCAAATGATCGAGATTTTAATATCAAAAAAAAAAAAAAAAAAAAAAAAAAAAGAATGCTGATGAAGCATTTATTCGTAGAGGAGCATATTGGACATTTGATGCGCAAGGTTAGTTTTTATCAATGAAAAAAAAAAAGAATTCCACATAACCATCGTGTACTGAATGCAGGTCTCCTTACCCTTGTGGAGAAGCTTCGGGAACCAATTAAGAATGATACAATAATTTGTGCGCCATCATTTGACCACTTTTTAGGTGATCCTGTTCTGGATGACATAAAGGTTTTACCCAGGTCATTTTTTTTTCTTCTCCTTACTAACCAAATTAATAAGGCTAACCTCAATATTTTAATAGTCATCGAACGATAATTTTTGAAGGTCTTTACCTCCTTTTAAAGGAACCTCTTATATGGAGAATAATTGCTTCTCACATGAACGAATTATGGTTTATTCAGGTGGATCGAGAGGTTGCAAAAGAAAGAGTTATTAAGAGGCATATTAAAAGTCGCATTGGTATGATGACATTTTTTGAAGTCGTTTTCATATGAACTTCATTACTTATTACAAACATATCACGTTTTTTGAAAGCCGAAAATAGAGAACAAGCGGTCATCAGGGTGGAGAATAATGATATGATTAATGCAGATTTTATTTTGAATAATAGCATTCCACCTACTAGAGTTGTGTTTAGCATTGAGGAGATCGAACATGAAATTTAATGAGATTATTTTTGTTGCAATATGTATTTAAACTACGATAAAGTCAATTAAAACAAACGGCATTTTATTGATATTATATTTGAATTATCTAACTTGAAATTCGAAAAAAATGAAAAATTTAACAATTTAATTGCAATTTATATTTTTAATCAATAAGCATTTTAATTTAAAAGCGAACCTTCCAAATAAATATAATTGTAATTTCAAATACTTAATTTAATCTGCTTCAAATCAATTTAAACCCAAAATTTATATTCTTAACAAATTACAATTAACCCATCTTAATTTTCCGAGTATGGTTCAATTAAAATGTTATATAGTATATTAGATTTTTAAAAGGGTAGGTATGACAAAAGTCAAATGTTTCTTACTAGTAAATATTAAAAATTTAATTATAAAAAAACTATTCAAAATAGTTTTCTACTATTAAAATTAGCAAAATTTATATATTAAGAATTTTATAAATCTATTGTTACTCAAAATAATATTTTAATTTTAAATTTTTTTTAACTCAAAATTATTATTATTTTTTTTTTAAAACCCGTGGTCAGGTCAATACTGTGTGTTTATAATCTTTAAGAAAACCAATAGAGATACATAGGACAATTGCACCATGGCTAAACTAAAAGACTCATACTGACATACTCATCAATGGCTTTCAATTCTTAGAAGAGTTTCAGTCTCTAAGTGCAACCTTGAAGACAATATTTTGCTCTGGACCAAGTTTTGGGTGAAGATCCTCTTAGCTTATCTATTATTGCCAGCAAGTTGTCACTGCTTATTATTCTCCAAGGAACTGAATTCAAGAAACTATAAAAGGAGAAAGGAAAAAGAAAAGGAAAGGGGAATATCTAAAAATGTGCAAATGCACTATATAAAAATGAAAGAAAAAAAAAAAATTAAAAATACTCCATGTTCTTCAAAGAATCTCTGCTAAAAACCTTTTCTTATTAGGAATCAACCCTTCTGAGATATTCTTCTTCTTTCTAACTATATAAGGAACTTATTTATCCATGCTCTTGATTATCTTCTTGTGACT